CCAGGCGGGTCACGAACCCGCGGGCTCAGGCAATCCACTCACCTCAGCCTCCCAAAGGCGTGGGATTACAGGCTGAGCCACCGAGCCCGGCACCATGGCAGTTTTAAACTTGTAGGAGTGATATGGCCAGATTTGCCTGTTGAAAATCATAATGAAAATAATCGACATTGTGAAATGTTTACTATGTGCCAGGCTTGGTGCTGAATGGTGTTCTGGACTATATCACGAGATTCTCACATGTTAGATAGGAATCACTTTCATGTGTTATAAACGAAGGCTCTATTTTAGGGAGGTTGGGTCACTCAGCTAACATCCCACAGTGAGGAAGCAGTGGGGGCTGTATTTCTGACGGCAGGGCCTGTAGATCTGATTGATCCTCACTATAACCTCTTGAGGTGGGCACCATTTTTCCTCCCATTTTAGATGAGGAAACAGGCCCAGAGAGGTTATGTAAGTTGCCTGAGGCCACACAGCTTGAAACTAGAGTTGAGCCCAGGCACTCTGGCTCCGGGGTGTCCATGCTCCTGACAGCTGTCTCACATTGCTTCTTGGAAAGTGGTCTGGAAAGCAGCTCTTAGGCCACCATGTGGAGAAGGATGGGTAGGGGACAGTGACTTGGCTGGGACCGTGCTGTGATGGAGTGCAGCGGGCACATTCAGGGGGAGGTGAAACAGGCCGGTCCTGGGGAGGGGCTGATGGAACCAGCTGGACTTGGGATTGGCCTGGTGCTGCCAGGCGAGCAGGGGTTGCGTCTGAGGTGAGGTGGGGTGGCATGGGAACGCCACACTTGGTCTGCGACACAGTGGACTTGGGGTGGCTGTGGGACAGTGTGGTGGAGAGTCAAGGAGGTGGTTTGGACCCGGATCTGGAATGCAGAGGGTAGATGTTCAGCAGGTTGGGCAAATGGGAGCTGGGGACGGGGTGAGCCATCTAGGAGAGGGATGGAGTGGGAAGGAGACAGTCTCGACTTGGCTTTCTTGCCCTAGGAGGGTTCCAAAATGAGGACCCGTGGACTCACCTGACAAGGTAGGAATGGGGGGAAGGAGTGAGTGCAGAGGCATGGACAGACAGATGAATGTCCATCCCCTCAGCTCCTTCAAAACCTACAGGCCAGGCTGCCCCTGGGAGACCAAAGGGGTGCCAGCTGGGGCTGAGGGCTGAGGGCAGCCCTGTCTCCTGGGGACGGGCCTAAGTAAGGCTGCAGGCCCCTCCTGTGATCACCCAGGGAGGTTAAGTGATGGGAACAGGGTGGGGCCAAGCCTGGAGTTCTCCCCGTGGGGTGGTTCAGGGGTTCTCAAGGAGCTTCCTCAGCCCTAAGGGTACCGTGAGCTGCCACAACACACCGAGCTGGGCACACAAGCTGCACGATCTCTCTCTCACACACAGGCATAGGCAACCATGTCAACCACAGATCCAGAAAGCCCAGGACACAACACAGGCGTACAGGTAGTGCCCCAGTCCACGTACACGCAGGCCCAGCCCAGAAAACAAGCCCGTCCACAGTGATGAGTACGCATGGCCGGTGGCTGGGGCCTCTGACCTGAGCCCTCACTGCCTGAGGATGCGCTGATCCCTGGCTTCATCTCCCACCCTTTATACTAGCCAGCTTCGTGGACGGAAGAGGCCTGGATCTGATCTAAGACCTGGCCTTGGCCTGACACCCTGTGAACTCAGGCCTTCCCTAGCTGTTCCTGGGCCCAGAGACCCTACCTGTAAGGTGGGGAGTGGGAATGACCACCCCAAGCAGAAACCCCCGCTTAGGACCGCATAGCCAGGCCTCAGGGCAGTCGGGAGAGGGCTGAGGCCAGCCACCGAGCGATGGCCTGTCTTGGTATGCCGCCATCACCAGGCAGGGGACTGTGTGGGCATTACAGTGCCCCTCTTCCAGACAAAGACAGCAAGGCTCAGGGCAGGGTCTCTCAGGGAGTTGGGGTCCAAGGCCCCAGCTCTGCCACTGCCCTGCGCTCTTCTCCCTTGCAACCTGAGGTGGGTGGCCGGCGGCAGACCCCAAGGACCCAGGGCTTGGATCCCCTTACCTGGGTCCCGTGGCCTGCTCCCCGCCTGCATGCCGCCTCACGGGGGTCCTGTGGCTGGCCCCAGGAGCACAGCCAGCCCAGCAGAGCAGCCCAGTGTTGCGGGAAAGGAGGCCCAGCCCACCACGCCAACCGCCTGGGGCCCCATGTATATTTAATGATGTCTATTATTCCTGTTTTGTCTCTGGAAAGGAGTGAGCAGCTGACAGGGCAGCCACGAACAGCCTGGAGAGCTGGGCAGTGGAGCCACACTCCACCCTTCCTGGCAGTCTCACAGAACCTGCTGTAGCACCCCAAAGTGCACCTCCTCCAGGAAGCCTTCCCAGCTGCTCAGAGTTCTTAAATCCCAGATCTGCACTCAAAAGCTGTCTAGCCTAGAGCAAATCGCTTTCCCTGGAGGGCAGGCTGCTGTGTGTGTGTGAAGGGGTTAGGGGGTCGGCACAATCCCTGGCATGGAGTAGGCACTCTTCAGGAACCTGCTGTCTCCTCCATCCCTGGCTTCTGAGGCAACAGGAAGTGTACCCAGCCACCTTGCTCTCCCAGGGGGGCCTCCCTGCCACCCCAGACAGTCCTAAGGGCCTCCTGGGGGATGCCACCCGTCTCGGCAGCCAGGCCCCTTTAAGGGGCCACGGTTAGGCCTGCAGCCCCTGGCCAACCCTCCCAGGCAGAACCCATCCCGTGCCTTGGTGAGGAACCCCACGTTCTCCTTCCCACCCCCAGCCTGGCCCACTCGCGTGTACAAACATTTCCTCAGTCTGAACAGGCACCATTTAAAACCCTTTATTTCAGAAAGGAGAGCAGAGGTTGGGGGCTTGGAGAGAAAACAGAACGCAAACTCCAGTCCCCACCCCAGGCGTGCAGAGCCAGGGGCCTGGGGTTTTTGTGCTAGGCAGGGGCTGCCCTGGGAGGGGGGTCAAAGGGGGAGGCACTTTAGGACACCCCTCGGGCTGTGGAGGGTGTGATCTGGGGCTTTGGAGCCCCTAACCTCTGGTTTCCACCCTGGACAGCCCTTTGTGGGGAAGACCAGAGGGTTTCTTCCTGGGAAGCCCGTCCCCAAGTGCCAGAGAAGCCAGCAGGAGCTATGGAAGCAAGGTGCTCTGACAGTGACCACTCCAGACCAGGCAGGCCCGGCTCCCTGCCCAGCACCAAGCACTCCATCTGCTTTAGGCCCTGGGGGGTGGGGGGTGGAACAGGTGAGCAAAGATGCAGGCCCAGGGCTCCTAACCCAGAACCCCCATCAAAGAGACCAGTCTCACGGGAAATGCTCCCAGCCTCGCCCTCTCACCCCCTGCCCCAACACACTCTCCATCATCTGCCTACTGAAGAAACTTCTGGAAACAGCAGAGACTTGAGGGACCTCTTCTTGGGGTGTGTGTATTTGTATTTTTCCCAGTGGGGCATTAGTGTGGTCCAGTGGGTCCAACTCCCAGGGAGACAGGCCGGTGGGCGGGGCAAGAGCTGTTACTTCTTCACAATCTGGATGACATCCTCATGTTCCATGGTGTGAGTCAGGCCCACCCGCTGTGGGCTGTACTTGGTGCTGGTACCCTGGGTGAAGAATGAGGCAGAGGGGCCACGTCAGCCTAGACTGGCCGCGGCCCACGGAGCCATCACAGGAGGAAGGCGGGTGTGTGTGTATTGGGGGAGCGAGTGCCAGAGTATAAAGCAGGCGCCCCAGACAGCAGGACATCCCCAGTGGTCTCACCACCCTGTCTCAAAGGGGGGGAAGGCGCATGTCTAGCCTGGGTTGGCATGCACACTCCATGGAGGACAGACACACAGACACACCGGTCCCCATATGGAAGGACTAGGGACGCTGTGCAGTGTGTGAGTGCCTTGCTGGGTCTTAATCCAGGGGCTATGTTGGGCCTACACTTCTGCACATCTCCCCCCAGAGACTCACCCACACCAGGGCGTACTTGAACTGGCTGGCAAGCGACCGATGGATGCGGTGACACTGGGGGACAAAGGAGGATTAGACAGGGAGGCGAGGTTCCACCTAACCCCACCCAAAGCTTGTGGCACATGTCAAGACACAGCAATTCCTGCAGTAGGTGCTCAGTCAGTGCTCAATCACGAGGGGCGTCATGCTGGATTCGCAAGCAGCTGCCCACTCAGCTGCGTGGGGCTCTGACATTTCCACCCTGGTCTGCTCAAAAGTCCTGGTGCCCAGTTAGGAGTGTTCCCACAGCCGTCAGAGGAAGGTCAGGCATCTGGCCGTTAGCAGCCCTCCCTCCACCTGCCTTGGCTGAACAATAACCTGACGCTTCTTCAGAGTGGGACAGGGTAACAAAAGCCTGGAGTCCCCACTGCTCAGTCACTCTCACCCTCCTGGACCCATCTGTGGCCTGTAGCCTCCTGCAGGCCACACACTGCCACCCCCAGCACAGCCTTCACCCTCCACACTCGCAGGCAGGGAAGAAGGTCACAGGGTCCCAGCCTTTTCAGGAGGTTGTTCTGGCTCTGGGCCACCACCTGCTCCTGCAGGCCATACTCAGCTGAGAGTTCTGGACAGGGAAAGGAGCCTCTTGCTCCCTGAGCCCAGCACTCCTGGAGCCTGTGCTGCCAGCTCCCCTGCCTGGACTCTCCACACCCTACTCTTCACTGTTCGACCCCCTTGTTCCACAAGCCAGTTCAGGTTGCCTCCTCTGAGCTGCCTCTCCCGCCTGATCTCTGTGTAGACCTGGAGCCTCACCCCTCATGTGTGACTGTTCAGCTTTGAGACTGGCTGCCTGGCATCTGCTGACCCAATAACCCAGTTCTGGCAGGAACTGGTGCTACTTCCTTCACTGTTGATGCTCAATAAGCGTGTATGTTGCGTGCAAGAAGCATTCAGAGCCATGCTGAGTTGGGGGCAGCCTGGAGGAGCAGGGGGTCAGGGCAGGCTGCAGCGGAGTGGGGGCCACGGGAGGTGGCTACTGTGAGCCCCAACTAGTTGTGTTGCCAGGAGGGAGAAGGAATGAGAGGGAGGGGTCTGGGACTTCTCCCAGGTCACAGCTCCAGCTCCATTGGGAGAACATGGGAAGCCTGGGGCAGGAGCTCTCTGTGGCTGACACTCGAGTGGTAGTGGCCTGAGGAGCCTGCAGCCTGGGACAGGTGACAGGACCACGGCTTACTGACAGCTACACAGTGTCAGGCAGTGTGCTGAGTACCTTACGCACTGGACCTGGTTCAAGGTGGCCTCCTAACTACCCAGGGAGGGACAGAGGCTCAACAGGGGTAGTGCAGACACAACCCCAGGTAGTCTTAACTCTAAAGTCTGCCTGGCATCCAAGACTGAGGTGAGCCCAGCCCACCCCAGGCCCTGAGTGACCCAGACAGAACAGAGCTCTGAGGGCTGCAGAGCTCCCACCTCCTGTCTGCGCAGGTCACAACTCACCACATGCTCCACGGAGGCCCCTTTCCGGAGAATGATGGCATCTGTGAAGTCTGGCCTCTCTGCAGGGAGATGCAGAGTGTTGGCTATACACATAACAGGAGCTGGCCCTTCCACATTCCCATGCCCTGGCCTAACCTCCCCTGTGATCCAGCACACCAGAATCAATCCCAACTCAGAATTCACACTGTTGCTACCCGTCGGCCACGACAGCACCGACAGAGAGGAGCACCTAGAGCACCTGGCTGGATGGGTAGGGAGCAAATAGCTGCTGGAGTCGTGGGGGAAGCCGTAGCTCTCCCCTTGCTGACAAGGTCAAAGTTGATGCATGCCAACTCAAACTCAGCAGCTGGGGCCTGTGTGTGTGTGTGTGTGTGTGTGTGTGTGTGAGAGAGAGAGAGAGAGAGAGAGAGAGAGAGAGAGAGAGAGACAGGGAGGAGAGAGTGCATGTGCTCATGGGGACAGCTGCCCAAAGCTCCTGATGTGGGGGAAGGTCAGGAAGGTGGTGACTGCGGTGGCTGGTGGGTAGCCTTAGTGCACCGCCCTGGCTGCCCCAAGACCAGCAGCTCCAGAATTGGGGCTTGGATCAGTGGGCTCGGGCTAAGGGCCCTATCAGGCTGGGGTGGAGGGCAGTGCCTGGCGCTGAGACGGGCATGGAGCTGGGGCATGCTGAGACATACCAGGCCGGCCCCGGGTGCTGCACACAGGCCTGGCAGCCCCTGGGGAGGGCCACCGTGCCACCCAACTCACGTCCTCTCTTTTTGGTGTAGATGCAGGTCAAGGCCAAGTACTCCCACAGCATCTCCAGCAGGTAATCCAGGTTCAGCTTCATGCCGCAGCTGTAGGGAGGAAGGTGGTGTCAGGCAGGGGCCCTTGTGGCTCAGAGGCTGGGGTTTCTGCTTCTCACTGTTGGAGAGAGCCATGGCTTGACACTTGCCATAGTGTGACCCGAGTGGTGTCCTGCCCTCCAGAGAGCAGCTGTAGCACAAGCGGTAAAGCTGTGGCAAGTGGCCCCCCTCAGGCAGCCTCTGAAGGGCCTTGGGATGCAGCAGCAGCAGCAGCAGGAGATGAACTGAGGCGGTCCCATGTGAGGGTGAGGCTCTTTGTGGCGGCTGCTACATCCCAAAATGGTCCTCATGTTTCCAGGAGTCTTGCTCACCGCTGGCGCTGGCCACCCCACACAGTCCCTGAGCTCTCGCTCTCACGAGCCAAGCCTCACTGTGAAGCTGCACCACACTGGGTTTGAGCTGGGACACCAGCAAAGTGGAGCACACAAATCAGCTGACTCCAAAGAAGCCCAGCAGGCAGCAGTGGGACATGAATAAATAGCCATGAGCCCAAGTGCAGGTGATGCCCCTTGGACCCACCCTGCAAAGGAAGGCAAAAAGCGGGGGACTGGGGGATCCCATGCACCCAAGAACTTCAGTGCCCTTTTCTTTCTGAGCTGTGGTCAGACAGAAGCCATACCTTCCAGAGCAGGAGAGGCAAATTCACACCTGGGGCTTCTTGGGGAACCAAGGTTCATCACTAAGCTGAGAAGCCTCTTTTTTTTTTTTTTGAGTCAGAGTCTCACTCTGTCGCCCAGGCTGGAGTGCAGTGGCATGCTCATGGCCACCACAGCCTCAACCTGCTGGACTCAGGCAATCCTTCCACCTCAGCCTTCCAATAGCTGGAACTACAGGTGAGCGCTACCACATCTGGCTAATTTTTTTTTTTTTTAATTGTAGAGATGAGGTCTTGCCAAGTTGCCCAGGCTGGTCTCAAACTCCTGGACTCAGGCAATCCTCTCACCTCGGCCTCCCAAAGAGATTTGAGCCACTGTGCCCAGCCTGAGAAGTCTCTTAACCATTCAACCTCTACTGATGAAATCCTTCTGTTTTCTTTCTTTTCTTTTCTTTTTTTTTGGAGACAGGGTCTTAGTATGTTGCCCAGGCTGGATTCAAACTCTTAGACTCAAGAGATTCTCCCACTTCAGCCTCCCAAGTACCTGAGACTGCAGGTGTACAATGCCATGCCCACAGACATCAGCCACGCTGCCCATGCAGATTCAGTGCTGGAACGGGCCAGTGCCACCAGCAGCTATCAGGAGGGGACTCTCCTGTGGCATCTTGTTGGGCTCATGAACAAGTGCTCTCCCTGGGAGGGAGACCCTGGGCTCTATGAGAGCTTTCCTTCCCTGTAGTCGACGTGGCTGGGAGGCTGACTGCTGGGATCAGATCTGAGAAAAAGGACACCAGAGCTGGAGGGTACCAGAGGCCTCACCTGATGACCACACTGTTGGGCTTTCTTGCCAGGCGGTCTACCTCTTCCATGGAGATCTGGTCGATTTTGTTGTACACCTGAGATTGAAACGGAGATGGTGCTGGGAAGGGAAGGAGCCAAACATCCAGGAAAGGGCCCATAATCAGCCCTGCACCTGCCAGAAGTTCCTCCTGGGCTCACTGAGGCGCAGGGAGCTGAGTTCGCAAGTTCTGCCCTTAATGCCTAAGATGGCCTTCCACCAAAAGAAAGCCTGGGCTGGAACCCTGGTTTCAAGTTCAGTATGCCTGCAAGATTCAGGTGGAGAGGAGGGGAAGGGAAAGGAGGGTGAGCTAGGAGCTTGGACATGGGGAGCAGAGGCAGTCAGCTGCTGGTCACCTGGGTGCTGGGAGCTCAGGAAACACATTCACAGGAAAGGCCGAGTGGCCCAGGCCAGGGCTTCTTTCCCCCAGGGTGCCCTGGGTGCGGTGCCACTTACATATAGGCAGGGCATGTACACCCGGTTGCCCACGATCACGTCAATGAACTCATCTGGGGAGCAGTCTTCTCGGAAGAGCACTTCCGCATTGAAGATCTCTGAGGGTCTCTGATTAAGGGCATCCTGTGTGTCAGCATCCACTGTACCCCGTTAGCAGAGGGGCCCAGAGAGCCAAGTAGGAAATACACTAGCTGGAAGAGACCCTGGCAGTCATCTGCTTGTGAGGTTTTATAAGATTTTAAAGCCTGGGGAGCCCCTTCTTTATTTTCCCCAAAGAAACCACAATATATAAAAGTTTCAATCAACAAACTTTTTTTTTTTATGAATTGGAGTCTCACTCTGTCACCCAGGTTGGAGTGCAGTAGCATGCTCATGGCTACTACAGCCTCCACCTGCTGGGCTCAGGTGATCTTTCCACCTCAGTTTTCCAAGCAGCTGGAATTATAGGCATGCGCCACCACACTCAGATAATTTTTTGATTAACTGTAGAGATGAGGTCTCACCAAGTTGCCCAGGCTGGTCTCAAACCCCTAACCCCTGGCCTCAGGCAGTCCTCTCACCGCTGCCTCTCAAAGTGCTGAGATTACAGGCGTGAAACATCTTCATTTAGGTGGGGAGAAAAATGTACTTGCTAGAATCCCCAAAGCAACTCAGTGGAACCCAATTCCAGGACCAGGAGCATCATCTACAAGCTGGTCTAACCCAGCTTCTCCCCATGCAGGACTCTCCTCTGGGGACAAGGGGCTCATGCCTTTGCTGACACACCTCTGGTGACACAGGGCTCATATCTGACCCTAATTCTCCATATGCCAAGCACAGCCCTGCCTGAGGCCCTGCCCTGTGCTCCAGAGCCTTAGAACTCAACTAGCTCCTAACAACACATTTGAGGTTCTCAAGAAGCTTCTCCAGTCCAGGAATCCCCAGTCCACAGAGGCTGTTTCCCATGCCATTGTGTTCTTCCAAATGCCACCTGGCCACCACAGTGCCTAACACTTGGGAAGGAGCCAGGAAGCCATTGTCAATGTGTGGCTGCGGCCCCAGTAAAGTGGAGCTTTCCTGGAGGCTGCTCAGATGGCCTGGGTGTTGCTGGGCCACAAGGCCTCCTGTCTCAGTTGCCCTCCATCTGCCCTGACAGCTGTGGCTGCCTCCCTTGCCCTCCTTTGGGGAAGGATACTATACTCGTGCAGGATGAGCTGCACCAGCTTCTCCGAGCACTGGGTCAGCGTGACTGTTGAGTTAAAGGAGATGCCGCCACCTTTCTTGGGCTGGAGGAGCAAAGAGGGAGAGGCAGAGCTGCTGACCAAGGGGCCACAGCAATGGCCCCATGGTCTCAGTCACCGGCTAAAGCAGTCCCAAACTGGCCGCACCCATGGCCCGCGGGCCAGAAGGGGCCTCACCTTGAAATAGATGTTGGGCTTGTGCTTGTTGAGGCGGATGCCCACAGACTCCAGCTCCTTCTCCAGCAGAGACCTAGGGAGAGCACCCCCATGACCCCTCACAGGCTGCCCACAGAGGCAGGCTATGCGGCTTCCACTTCACACAGGAAGCCCTGCCTATCCAGAGACCAACTCTCTCCTCTACCACCTTCCCCAGCACCTGGGAATTGCTCCTTCCCAATGCCCTGAAGCTGCAAGGGAGGCTCTAAACAGCCACAGTCCAAGGGGAGACCGGCCCAGTTTGTAGTCAGTGTGTGCAAGGAAGTGGCAGAAGCCCCCATGAGGTGACCATGTGAGGTGCTCCTCTGACGCCAGGAGGACCCACAGGACTGCTGCTGCACAGGCAGGCCTGGCATGCCCCTCAGCTGGCAGGGCATAGGTGAATGGTGCTTCTGCTGCTTGGGGCTGTGCTCTTGGAAGATTCCGGGCAGTGATGAGACACCCAGGCCTCTATGGGCAAGAGAAGGAGCCAGGCCACACTCTTTGGTCCCCAACCCTGGGATGTCCCTGTGCTGGCTGGACACTGGACACAAATCTCAAGGACATCCCAGGCTGGGTCACACTGGGTTTAGTCCATGGGAAGTCCTGTTACTACTCTCACACGTAAAAGGGCCAAGCAGCTCATGGACTGCCCACCATGATCTTAGGGACACATCTCCCCTCCCCAGACACGTAAGCGTGCCCTGTGCCCCACCCCGCGGACCTCTGCACCTCTCCCTTGGTGGCATCCAGCATCATGATGACGACGTCGGCTGTGCGTGCCACAGCAATCACTTGCCGGCCACGGCCTTTCCCTGGATAGGTGGAAGGATTGTGATTACACCTTGGCAAGATGCAGTGACATACACAGGACCCATGTAACTCCGCCCAGTCCATGGCACCCTGGACTCCTGTCCTTTACAGACCCACCATGGCCTCTGCCAATGCCACCACCAAGCTAATTTGTCTTTAATTCACATGATATCTTACTCATGGAGACTTATTTCAGAAGGAAATCTATCACCACCTTAAGTGGAGTAACGGGACAATAATGGTTGTCCTACCTCAACCCCTACTAGGTGGCAGACCCTAAGCTAAATGCTTCATGAACATTTCCTCACTTAATCCTCTAAATTATGCTGTAAAGTTGGTATTATCATGCCCATTCTACAGTTGGGGAAACTGAGGCTTGGTTTAGAGACCCAATCACTTGTTCAAGATCACAAAGCTAGTGTGGTGCCAAGAGCTGAACTTGAGCCTGTCCTTTCTGGAAAACAGGGTCATGGGCCAGGGACCCAGAGCCATCTCCATGGCAGCCACACCCAATTTCAATACTCAGTAACAGAGTTCCACCCTGTCTCCCACATGTCTGTCCCTGCCTCCAACCTTGGGCTGCGCCTTCAATGATTCCAGGAAGGTCCAGGAGCTGGATGTTGGCACCTTTGTACTGGGATGCAGAAGAGAAGAAAGAGAAGTTGAGGCTGGGCCACTGCTGGGAAGGACCTGGACAAGGGACCCCGGCAATGACTCCACGGCTAAGGGGTTGTGGGAAAGCCGGGTGCCAACCCGTGGCCAAGTCTGGGCCTTGTCACCACCCCAGCCCGGTGCAGACCACGGCCCAGGAGCTGAGCTGCCTGGGGAGGGTTCCTGAGACTTCCCAGTCCCACAGCACTCATCGCTGATGGCAGCAGCTCCTTGCACATCAACTGTTGCGGTGCAGGAGACTCAAGGCCACAGCACGGGGTTGCCCAGGTTCTGTAGCTTCACGGGCGGCAGCAAGAGCCAGCCAACCAGCAATAAGTGAGCGGAGCTGGGCGGTACAGGGGAACAGAGCACGCAGGGACACTGGGCAGTACTGCCACGTGCTGGCCGACCCTCCCCAGAAGCACCAGTGCTTGAGGGCAAAGTCGTGCAGCCCAGAGCCTGCCCCTATGCAGGGATGTCCACTCTAGACTCACACACACAACAGGTACACACACCAGTACAGACACAGCACACATGCTTTCTCCCTCTGGGTCCAGCACTCCCACTTACTTCAATGACCCCAGGGATACACGTCAGAGTGGTGAACTCGTAGGATGCTGCTTCGCTGGCTGTGGAGGTCATCAGACTCAAGAAAGTGGACTAGGAGAAAAGGAAGTCATTGCACTGAGGAGTCTGTCCCACCCTCCTGGGTGCAGGCAAAAGAAGAGCCCCCCCACCCCAACTGGGAGACTTGGGTGGGTGTGAAGAGACCTGTCCCAACCAGAATAGTCGCTTCTGGCCCTGCCCAGGAGGTTCCTCAGAAGACCCACCTGTCCTGGGTGTTTTTAGGGTCCACATGCATCAGGGCCCTTCCCCAGTCCCCGCACAACCCTCCAGAACCCCAGGGCCCCAGGGAACTTTAAGCAGGTGACACCCATAGCACTCGTGAAACCAGTACCCAGACACGCTGTGAACCCAGGAGGCTACAAGGAGATGGTAGAGGAGACATCGGCCTTCCAGACTGAGGCAGCAACAAGTGGCAGGAGACAGGCATTTTGAGCAGAGGGGAAGCTGGGAGGATGTGGATGTGATCACTTGGGCCTCTGCTCACTGTGGTAGGAGCCAGAGACCTGGCTTTGGATCTTGCCTCTGCTGGGGAACCCTAGGCCTAGGCAAGAAACTCCATCCTCTGAGTTTTAGGGTCCTCACTCATATGTTGAGCGGGCACGAACCCAGTCCCTTTCCTGCAGGACTGCACAGGGATTATGAAGATAAGAACTGGGCGGACTCACTCAGAACACAGTACCGTCTTAGCCATGGGCCAGCCAAGCAGTGGGCAGAACTAGGAAGGGCAGAAACCCAGCCCTGTGCCTCCCACCCCATCCTAATCAGAGGAGTGCGGAAACCAGAAGCCTAAGACTCTGAGTTGCAATAGGCTAGTGCTGTAGGGACCTGGTCTCCTTGCCAGCAGGCAGAAAAACTGGGAGCACATCTCCCCCACATACCCTCTGATCTGTGAAACTCAGAATGGGGTGTGTAAAGAAACACACTGAGACCTCAAATCCAGAAACCTCAGCCTTGGGGAGTTCTTGAAAACTCAAGGAATGAGGAAAACCTGGTAGAGCAGACAGGTATGAACAGATGGGGCAGCCCAAGAATAGTGGCTGCCAAGACACTGAGCAGCCAACTTTGGGGATACCCCAATCCCATCTGGCCTCTGTGGGTGAGTGGTCTGGACTCTCCCATGTGAGAGAGCTTGCAGTCCCAACAGGGCAGCTGGGATCAGCCACAGGACCCAGGCTCCAAGGAGTATGGTTCTGGGTGACCATGGCAGCTTCTAGCAATCTTGCTCTCTCTGATACATATACCAACTATATAGGTGGACAATAAAACAAAACAGTGCCCAACCTGCAGCAAGCGCTCAAGAGATGCTGGCTGTCACCAACTTCCCTTATGTCTGGCTTGGAGTAATAGGCTCAATACATCATTTAGCTGAGCTGAGTTATAAGGCTCTCCCAGCACCTGGCCCAAGTGCCCGGTAACTTCTCACATGGCCTGTATTCAAGCAGCCTCTCCAGTGGCCCCCTGCTCCCACCCTGACCTGTTCTAGCCTGCTATCTGCATAGCACCTAGAGAGAGTCTGTTAATAAGTAAGTCAGCGCCCAGACCGTAGTTTCTAATGCCATTCTCCAATAAAAGAAACCAGGGTTCCTTGGAGAAAAGGCTGATTCTAGGCCAGGGAAAGGAAGACACAAGATGAGGCTTACGCATCTTAGTGTCACAAGTGCGGGAGTGCTGGGCGGGTGCAGTGGCTCATGCCTGTATTCTCAGCACTTTGAGAAGCTGAGGTGAGAGGATTGCTTGAGCTCAGGAGTTTGAGACCAGTCTGGGCAACATAACTAAACATCATCTCTACAAAAAAATTTTAAAAGTGAGACCCCAACAACAATAAAAAAGTGAGGAGTGCTGGAAAAACACAATGATGGAAGCACATCAAAGAAGCCAACTGAAATAGCTCCAAACAAAAGAACATGGTGTGGGATTAGACCCTAAAGTACAAAATAAGCACCCATGAGTCCAAACTAAAACGAATAAGACAAACAAATAGAAAGAAGAGACAAACCTCCCACGCAGAATTCCAAACTGTTTCTGAAGATACTCTCTGCTCAAGGACATGGAATCAGGACTCCACACCATTTATGTGGGCTGCACAAGTGACTGCCCTCCCAAGAGCAGTGTGGTAAGGGGAGAACACAGAACAGATCCCCAGTGGAGGGACTGACACATGCCTCAGCCAGGTGGTCAAGGTCAACACCAACAGTGATCAGTCGTGTTCACGGCACGTGCCCGTTATAGGATGTGATCAAAACAGCACTATACCTCTGAGGTCTTCCTCTCTAAACCATAACCACAACCTAACCACAAGAAAAGCATCAGAGAAACCCCAGTTGAGGGACTTTCTACAAAATACTTGACCAGTAACTCTCATAACAACTGCAAGGGATGCCAGACCCAGGACAGAACAAGGACAGTCAGGAAAAACCCTGGAAATCCAAGTTGAGTATGGACTTGAGTTAGTAATAACATCAATCCTGATTCATCAGGTATGACAAGTGTATTACACTAGTGTAAGATGGTCACAATAGGGGAAACTTGGTATGGGGCATATGGGAACTCTCTGTACCAGCTTTGTGATTTTTCTGTAAATTTATACTATTCTAAAATAAGAGTTTATTTTTAAGAAGTCAATCAGATCATGTCTCTTTTCTGCTGGAAACTCTGTAATGATGCTTATCTTACTCCTCACATTAAAAAGTAAATCATTTTACATGAAACTTGGCAGCTTTCAGTAGGAAGCTTCTAGAAAATTCTGCAGAGGCTCCAGCTTCACTCTTGACTCCAAGCCAAAGTCCTTCCAGCAGCCTCCATCCTCTCTGTCTCTTGCTCTCCCTGTGTTCACTCAGATCCGCTTCCCTGGTCCTGAGCACACACCAAGCCGGTGTCCACCTAATGGACTCGGCATTCACTACCCTCTTTCTGGAATTTTCTCACCCACAGCTCTGCAAGCACCATCCCTTTCTTCAGACCTCTGCTCAAATATGTGTTAGCCAGAGTAGCTTTCCTAGACCCTGACGTAACTAGTAGGACCTCTGCCTCATCACTCACAAGCCCCCACTCCTGTCCACTTGTTATACCCCACCTTTTCTTCTTTTAAAGACAGGATCTCGCTCTGTCACTCAGGCTAGAATACAGCGGTGTGATCACAACTCATTGCAGCCTCGAACTCCTGGACTCGTGATCCTCCCACCTCAGCCTCCCAAAGCGCTGTGATTATAGGCATGAGCCACTGTGCCTGGTCAGTATACCCCACCTTTACTTGTTTTCTGTTCTTCCTCCCCTGAGAATGGGAGTTCTGTGTGGACAGGGACAGAACTCTGTCTCATCCCTGCTGTGTCCTCAGCCTCTGACACAGTGCCTGACACAAGGTACAAGCTTGATAAATGTTTGTATGCGATGGCTGAGTCAGAAGACCCAACGGAGTTATTCCTGAAGGCAAGAGGAAAGAGCATTCTCCATGTTAGGATGATAAAGGGGAGGATCTGATCCCGGGGGAGGCTGGTTCTTCTCTGTCCCTGAAGAACCAGAAAGGCAGTGACGGGAGCTGTGGTCATCTGTTTGGAAGATGACCTCCTGCCTTCCTCCCAAGGCCCACACTGACCATCACTGACCTTACCCACAGAGGGAAATCCAATCAGCGCCACACGCGCATCGCCTGACTTCATGACATCAAAGCCCTCTCCTTTGGATGAGGCCGATTTGGAAGGTTCCAGGAGCTGGGCCCGATATTTGGCGAGTTTTGCTTTCAGCAGACCCAGGTGATACTCAGTGGCTGAAGAATGTAAAGCAAGACAGAAGGTAAGTGTCTAGGGTCTCCAAGTTCAGTGGGTTGAGTAGGGTGCCACACATGACCAAGTACTGGCTGGGAACATCAGAACCAGACAGTAATCATTGTCAAGGAGATCAGGAAAGAAAAACCACCTCTCTGCTTAAAAGGCTTCTTGGCTTCTCATTTCATTTAGAATAAAATCTAATTTTGTTGAACCTCACTACCCTATGTCAATGGTTCTCAATGGGGCAGCACTGCACCCTGGGGGGACAGTCTGGATATTCTGATTAAGTGTTTATTGGCATCTGTTGGGGAGGGGCCAAGTAAACCAGCTGCTCTCCAAGGTGACTCAGTCCTGTATCACCAATGACTATCCTGAATCCCACAATTTGTCACCTCCCACAGGCATCCACAGAGGGAAAACCTGGGGTGAGATCACTGGGTTGTATCTCCTAGCTCTGTTTACATGTAAATGCAGGGCACTTTTTGCAGTGTTAATATGAACCCAAATTCCCAGGAACGAGACTACTGTGTATGAGGGGGGGACTAAAAAACCCAGAATTTATTTATGAAAAATTATGTATTTATTCTTACATCTTTAAACTTCAGTCACCTTCAAAGTACTTTCTGATGCAGTGCACCTATTGAGACACTTTTCCCACTGCTCAGGACAGTTTTTGAACCCAACAATTTTGATGTCTTTTAGTGCTTCTGCGGTTTTTTGTTTCACCTCTTCCACATCAGCAAAACGTTTCCCTTTGAGGACTCTTTCCATTCAGGGAAACAAAAAAAAGTCACCTGGGGCAAAACTGAGTGAATAGGGTGGGACACGGGGGCCATGTTGTTTTTGATCAAAAACTGCTGGACATTCATCGCAGTGTGGACAGGTGCATTGTCATGGTGGAAGAACCAGTCACCTGTTTGCCACAACTTGGCATGTTTCTTTTGCACATCTTGATGCAACCTCTTCTGGATAAAAACTGGGTGACCATTTGATCTGGAGGAATAAATTCCGAGTGTACTACAAGGGGCGTGCCCTCCAAAAATAATTATGGTTTTTTTTGGGGGGTTCCCCCTCACACATTCAGGGAAAACTACATACTTCGTCTGAAACTTCATGAAGAGCTGCTCGCCATTCTGGGATCCAAGCTGTCACAGCAATGCCTCTTGTAGGCTAATGGAGTGGCCAACACAGCACACCTGTATTGTCTGCATTGTGGTTGCAACATCCCTGGTGGCCCTACCCAGAGGTGTGAGCATCTCACTGCATCATTATATCTTGGCAGCACCCCAGCATTTACATATTGAAATGCATACTATTTCCATTATAAATTACTTTCCTTTTCCTCCTCTTTATATTACTAATAAGGACATTACATTACATTTTTTCCCCAAATTTTCTGGGTATATAAATTATATTATTGATGGAGAATTTCATTTCGGAGTAGTAAAGGGGGTATCACAAATCTTTGCTATAAAAGGGGGCTGTGGTTGAGACAGAACAAGGACCCTATGTGACCTAGCCCCTGCTACATACCCTACTCTCCCTCGTCCACTGCATTCCAGACACAGTAGCTTTGTTTCTTGCCCCCCAGAACATGCTGACCTCGTTCCTTGTCTCAAGACCTTCCCACTTACTATTCCATTTCTTTCTTTCTTTTTTTCTTTTTTTGAGTTGGAGTCTCACTCTGTCGCCCAGACTGGAGTGCAGTGGCCGCTCCCCGCCATCGCAGCCTCGACCTGCTGGGCTCCGGCGATCCTTTCCGCCTCAGCCTTCCAAGTAGCTGGAACTACAAGCGCGTGCTACCATGCCCGGCTAATTTTTTGATTTATTGTAGAGATGAGGTCTCGCTTGCCCAGGCGGGTCGCGAACCCGTGGGCTCAGGCAATCCACTCACCTCAACCTCCCAAGGTGCGGAATTACAGGTTGAGCCACCCAGCCCAGCTCTTTTTTTTTTTTTTGAGTTGGAGTCGCACTCTGTTGCCCAGGCTGGAGTGCAGTGGCATGATCAGAGCTCACTGCAGTCTCGACCTGCTGGGTTCAAGTGATTCTTCCACCTCAACCTTTCAAGTCACTGAGACTACCGGTGCACGCCACCACAACTGGCTAATTTTTTTTTTTATTTTTTGTAGAGACGAGATCTCACTATGTTGCTCAGGCTGACTTGAACTCCTAGGCTCAAGCAGTCCTCCCACTTCAACCTCCCAGAGTGCTGAAATTACTGGCATGAGCCACCGTGCCAGGCAGCAATTCCCTGAATTGCACCTATATCTTCTCAGAGCTGGCTCCTTCTTGCCACTTAAGGTATAGTTCAAATGTTGCCTCTTCAAAGAGGCTTCCCTTGTCCAGGTTTGAGAAAGGTGGGGGTGGGGGAGGAAAGTGTCATACAGAGGTGAGAGCTTATAGAGAATCCCATCCTGCTGTTACTGACCGTTTTATTTGGAAAAGTTACTTAATCTCCTTCTTGTGCATCAGTTTTCTAATCTGCAAATAGGGATGTCAACAGTGACAACTACTTCACCAGATTTCTGTACAGCTTGAAGAAAGCACTAAGAACATTGCTTAGCACACAGTAAGCACCCAATAAGAGCTGGCTACTATTTTCTACAGTTAAACCTGTCCATGCCCTTTCCAGCAGAAAGGCCCCTTTCTGCCTCATGATCCTGTTTACTGTCTTCACAACTCTTATCACTATTTGAGAAGAAACAAGAAACTATCTTGTATCTTTACTTCCTGATTCCAATAGGTCAGGAACTGGGACTGTCTTAGTATCCCCAGCCTCTGGCACAGGGCCCGGGTGCTCAGGAAGGGCTCTGGCATGTGGACATGGGAATTGATGGCAGTGAGAAAGGGTCAAGATGGTTTCGGCAACAGTCAGGTTCCTGTGGCCCTTCCTGTCATCCCAGCTTGTGAAATTCTGAGCATCTCTAAAAGGAAGGACGAGGTCTTAATCACCTTTACATCCCCTTCGTCCAACACTGCCAAAGCAGCCGTATCTCTAGCCTCTCTGCTACTTTTGTTGGCCTTATAGATATTCCACACAGCAGCCAGAAGACAGAAGTCAAACTAGTCCCTCCCCTGCTTAACACCCTCCACTAGCTCCCACTGCCCTTAGCACACAACCCAGAGTCTTTCTCATGGCATATACAGCTCCACACGACCAGCTCTCTCATCTGCCATCACTGCACCCCAGCCCCAGATCTGTTGATTCCCAAACACACTGAGTTTATTCCTGCCTCAAGGTCTTCTGACTATCTGTTCCTTCTGCCAGGAACAGCCTTCCACCATCTTTGCATAGCAGGTTCCCTCTACTCATTCAGGTCTCAGCCCAATGCCACATCCTCGGGGTGGTTTTCTCTATCATTCCACCTAAGTAGGCCCACCCCATCCCCACCCCACACAGCACTCTGCTATATCACCCTGGTTTATCTTCACTGTATTTATTGCTGGCTGACATTACCTTGTTTATTTGGTTACTAGTTCACAGACAGTTGACCAGAAGGTCAGCTGCGAGGGCAGGGAGCACTTGCTGTGTTGACTGCTTGAGCCATAGCGCCTAGCACACAGCAAAGGCTCAGGAAAGATTTACAGAATGAATGAGTCATAGAAGACCCTCTCACACCTAGATGGAGCCAGGGGAGGGCAGACACTGAGACCAGCCACATGGCATTTTTTACTTCCTGTTCTGCAAGCCAGAATTCCACAGGGCTGCCCGGCCCATCACATCTCCCATTATTCCACACCTCCCTCTGGTTTAGATTGTCCTCACTACCCCATGAACACGCCATGCTCACTCCCATGCCTTTGCCTCAGCAATGCCCACCTGGAAGTCCCACTTCCTGCTGGCATCACCACTCTTCTCTCCTCACCTCTCTGCGCCGAGCACCTCCAGTCCCTACAACCTAAGTCCGGATTTGATGCTTTATCATGTACTATCTATGTTGGGGTGTTTAAATGTTGAGTGCTCACCATGTGCCCAGTGCTTTGCAAAGGCCATCTAATTTAACTTAGCTGTGAGCTAAGATGGAGCAGGGGGTTACTATCCCATTTGCAGATGAGGACATTGAGGCTCCAAGAGGTGAAGTGACTTTCCAATGCTTCACAGTAGGTATGTGGTGGAACTGGAGTTCAAACCCAGGCCTTCCAGACTCCAGAGTTCTGATTCCCTCGCTCCAGCGGACTCTCGGCGGCTGGGTGAGGCTGTCTCTTGCACTTCCCAGCCCCAGAGGGGAGACCACCAACTCCCCAGGCCCGGCCATCAGGAGACTGGATTTGAATCCTGGCCCTGTGTCTCTCTGGGTCAGATGCTTGCTCTGTGAGCTGGGATTCTCTACTCGGTCCCCCGGTCCGGCACTGATCAGATCTCTTGGGGGCTGTTTGTAGTCAGATCGGGGCGTGAGGCCCGCTCCCGCCTGGCCCTGCCTGGGGCGCGCCGGGCGGCCTCGGCACTTCTCTCGCACTCCTCCGCGTCCTCCGAGCCTGCTCCAGTTCTACCGCTGGAGTTGTTCCCCCACTTTACAGACAGGAAAACTGAGGCGGGCAGAAAGGAAGGCCCCCGCCCGGCCGGCCCTCACCCTTGTTCTTCTGCGTCCGAGCAATCTCCTTCTCGATCTCCGAGATCTTCTCCAAGATCCCCATGGCGGCGGCGGAGCAGCGCGCACCGGCGGCCACTGCGGCGGCACCAGGAATTCCGGTCCGGCGGCGGCGGCCGAGCAGCGTGCGCCCGGAAGCCACGGAGAACAGCGTCCTCGTGGGCGCCCGGTGCTCCGGGATTCAGAGTCCGGGCGGGCAAAGACGATCCGAGGGCCAGACGCTATCGGTTCCGTCTGCTGAGTCGGCCAGTTTGTGGACCGCAAGGATGGACCGGGGCAGGGCCGGGGGCGGGGAAGGGCGGGGCGCCGGGGCGGGGCCTGCAGTACCCGACCCGGGCACAGACTAGTGGGAGCTGGGCATGGAAAAGAGAGAGAGAATTTCCCAGTGATGAAGCCAGCGTTGCAGGTTCCTGGACGCAGATGACTTTGATAATGTAAAGAAATGGGGCTAAGCTGGAAGCTTGGTGGCTGTCATTTTGCATAGAAGTTAAAAGCAGGGACCGGGCGCGGTGGCTCAAGCCTGTGATCCCAGCTCTTTGGGAGGCCGAGGTGAGGGGATTGTCTGAGCCCACGGGTTTGAGAACAGCCTGGGCAACTTGGCGAGACCTCATCTCTACAATACATCAAAAATTAGCTGGTCGTGGTATAGCGCACCTGTAGTTTCGGCTGCTTGGAAGGCTGAGGCAGAAGCGTCGCCTGCGCCCAACAGGTCAACGCTGGGGTGGCCGAGAGCATCCCACTGCACTCCAGCCTGGGCGACGGAGTGAGACGCAGGTTACCACCTTAGCCAAGTGCTCCAACTTAGCACTCCCTGCTCTCAGATGCCTCCTCATGTGATCCAGTGTGGAATTCTTGCCAAAAATACTGTACCTGAGTTTAGACACGAGGAAACAACAGACTGAAATATCTATCTGCAAAACCTATAATAGCCTGCTGAAATGAGTAGGTAACTCCATTTTGTAACAGTTCTTCCATCTTAGCCTAGAGATGACCCCTTTCTGCAACCCTCTGGTAATCATACCGCACACCCACATTCCTGTACCCCTCAGTGACTGGAAACTCCCTAGTTGTGTAATTCTGTAACCATCCATACCTCTTACTAATCATATGGTTTGCCAAGAAATATCAATAAAACTGTACAGCTTATGTAAGGTTTACCTTTAAAAAACCACTACTCACTCTGTTTGAGGTCGAGAGTTATTTGGGACACTAGTCTGCTCTCAGTCACCTGCGTCAATAAAGGACTCATAATTTGACTCCTTCTCTGTGTGTTGGCATCATTTCTCACCATCCAGCTATAACAAGACAAATGTAGAAAGTGAAATATTTTATAAAGTAAGTGGCCTGGGCTCTTCAAATTTGTCATTGACTCAGGAAAAGGCAGGGAGATTGTTCTAGATTAAAAGATGTTAAATACAATGTGTGGACCTTACCTGTATTCTGGTTAAAAAATTTTTAAAGCACTTATAAAAAGACTTTCTGAGCTTAATGTGGCGTGTGTGCCTGTAGTCCCAGCTACTTGGGAGGCTGAGGTGGGAGGATCATTTGAGTCTAGGAGTTTGAGGTTGCAGTGAGCTATGATAATGCCACTGCACTTCAGGCTGGGCAACATAGTAAGATATGTTCTAAAAAAATGTTTCAATAAAATAAGTACATCAGAAAAAGACATTCTGAGCTGGGCTTGGTGACTCAGCCTGTAATCCCATGCCTTGGGAGGCTGAAGTGAGTGGATTGCCTGAGCCCGCGGGTTCGAGACCCGCCTGGGCAACTTGGTGAGACCTCCTCTCTACAATAAATCAAAAAATTAGCCGAGTGTGGTAGTGCACGCCTGTAGTTCTAGCTACTTGGAAGGCTGAGGCAGAAGGATCGCCGGAGCCCAGCAGGTCGAGACTGCGGTGGCTGAGAGCGGCCACTGCACTCCAGTCTGGGTGATAGGGTGAGACTCCAACTCAAAAAAAAAAAAAGACATTCTGAGGACAGTTGGGGGAAATTTTAACTATGGATTGAATATTAAGGAGCTATTGCTAATTTTCTTGGGTGTGATTATGTAGGAGAATGTCTATATTCTTAGTAGACATACATGTGGGATTTATAGGTTGTCTTGGTCTGCTCGGTCTGCCACGGAATATTATAGACTTGGTGGCTTAAACAACAGAAATGTATTTTCCCATGGTTCTGAACACTGGAAGTCAGATCAAAGTGGCCATATGGTTGGGTTCTGGTGAGGGCTCTCTTTCTGTTTTGCAGAGGGTCCCTTTCTCATTGCATCTTCAAATGCCCTTCCCCACAGGGCAAGCTCTCAGAGAGAGCAAACACTTTGGTGTCTCTTCTCACAGGGGCACTAATCTCATTATAATCCTACTCCCGTAAACTCATCCAACCCTAAGTACTCTCATAGGCTCTATCTCCAAATGCCACGTTGTGGGTTAGGGCTTCAATGCATGATATTGTGGGGGACACAACATTAAGTCCATAATAGGCATGAAATGTCATTATATCTATCATTTACTCTCAAGTAATTACACACACACACACACACACACACACATGAGGGGAAGGGAACCCCAAAAAACTGGAATTATCTTTTGGAGAGCGGCCCCCTTATAGTACAGGCTTCCTCGACTTGGTAAGTGTTCTTGGAACCCATTGGCATCAGTGTACATATCAACTAGCATTGTTGTAAGAGGCTGATTCAGCTTCAGAGAATTTTTTGGGGAGAGTCTTTCAGTGCATTTGCCCATTTCATGATGGGTGATTGACGAGCACACTTACTCACACCACACTGAATGTGCAGCAAGTTTTGACCCCAAATGACATGACCCTTGTGTCCCACCCTCACTATTCACCTGATCGCACCCTGAGTGCTTTTTTTCTGTTGTTTCCTTGGATGAAAAAATTCCTCAAAGGGAAATGTTTTGCCAATGTGGAAGAGGTAAAACAAAAAATGGCAGACTCACTAAAAGGTATAACAATCGCCAAGTTCAAAAACTGTTCTGAGCAATGGAAACAGCATCTTGACAGGTGTATTGCGTCAAACAGAGAGTACTTTGAAGGTGACTGAAGTTTAAACATGTAAGAATAAATACACACTTTTTTGTAAATAAATTTTGGATTACTTGTGGAGAGAGATAGATAGAGATAGAAAGATATAGATAGATATGTTTTAGAGACAGGGTCTCATTCTGTCACCTGGCCTGGAGTACAGTGGTGTGATCATAGCTCACTGCAGCCTTAAACTCCTGGGATCGAGCTATTTCCCAGCCTCAGCTAGGACTGCAGGCATGGGCCACCACACCCAGCTAATTTTTTTTTTTTGTCGGAGTCTCTATTGCCCATACTGTAGTACAGCAGCACAATCATGATGATTGCTGCTCAGCTCAACCTCCTGGACTCAAGTGATCCTTCTGCCTCAGCTGGGACTACAGGTATGTCACCATGCTTCGCTAATTTTTTTTTTTTTTGAGTTGGAGTCTCACTCTGTCACCCAGACTGGAGTGCAGTGGCCGCTCCAGCCTCGACCTGCTGGGCTCTGGCGATCCTTCCACCTCAGCCTTCCGAGTAGCTGGAACTACAGGCGTGCGCTACCACACCCGGCTCATTTTGATTTTATTGTAGAGATGAGGTCTCGCCAAGTTGCCCAGGCGGGTCTCGAACCCGCGGGCTCAGTCAATCCACTCACCTCGGCCTCCCAAAGGTGCGGGATTACAGGCTGAGCCACTGAGCCCGGCTGCTAATTTTTTATTTTTATTTTTTGTAGAGATGAGGTCTCACTATATTGCCCAGCCTGGTCTCGATCTCTTGGACTCAAGCAATCTGCCTGCCTTGGTTTCCCAAGTGTTTTTTTGTCATTGTTGTTGTTTGTTTGTTTCAGTCACAGGTCTTACTATGTTGTCCAGGCTGGTCTCAAGTCCCTGGACTCAGTTGAGCCTCCTCAGACCTTAGCCTCCCAAAGTGCAAGGATTACAGGCATGAGCCACTGCACCACATCAAAATATGTATATATTTAAGAAAGCATGCTAAAGTAAATGTGGCAATATGTTAGTAATTGTTAAACCTGGGAAGGGTATATGGTTATTTATTGAATTATTCTTTCAACTTTTCTGTATATTTTCATTCAAAAGTTGTAGAGGGAAGTCCTTGGAAATCATACTCCCTATATTCAAATTCCAGGTTCATAACTGTGTGAGCTTGGTTACATTTTTTAACCTCCCTGAGCCTATTTCTACAACCTAAAAATGAGAATAATATGGTTGCTATAAAAATGATATATGATTATGGCTGTACAGCACCTGGCATGCAGTTTGCTGGCTTACAAGTTATCTTTGAATGCCAAAGCCACTGGAAGTCACTTCTCTGTGAGTCTCACCGTCCTCTTCAGATTCAACCCGTACTTATTTAGCACCTACTATGCCCCAGGTTCTGGGCTAGGCAGGAGTTTTGCAAGCTTTGAACTTGCCACCCTCGTCTGCATGTTACAAACTGAGATTGAGAACTATGCAAAGTGCCTGGCCCAATGCTCTAATTGTCCAATGGCAGGGGTGAGGTCTGAACCTAGGGCTTTCAATTCCAAGTCCAGTGACCCCCAAGGTAACATGTAGAGTGTAGGTGGAATATAGATGGATGATGTGCCTATAAGGTTTAGAGAAGATGATAAAGGTGAAAACAGTTAGGGAACTGGGGAGGTCCATGAAGATGTGGAAGCCTGAGTGACCTGGCCCAGGAGTGGACCTGTAAATCTTCTCTGCCTCTACCTTCCATGTGATGTGGCTCTCAAGGCCTCCTTTCCCACCACCCTTATGCCCACAGATGCACATTCACTATCAGTTTACAGTTGGGGAAACAGAAGAGTTTTGGGAAATGACTCACCTTCCAAGAGCCGTGGCATCTTCGCTGTTGTGCATCTGCTTCCGTGCAATCTTTGGTTTCTTCACAAATAACATGGGAATTGTGCCTTTTTCAAGGATCAAAGGAGATGACCAGACATCAAGCTTTCTCTAGGCAACAGGCTCTCCTGCTGGGAGATCTGGGTCTCCAAACTCTAATCTGGAAATTTACGAGCATTGCTGTTTGTGCTACCCAAGCAACCCTTTCTTTCTTTGTTTTTTTTTTAGTCAGAGTCTCACTTTGTTACTCACGCTGGAGTGCAGTGACACGCTCACAGTCACCGCAGCTTCAGCCC